TTCAGCCCTTTGCATGTCATCGTTCCTAGCTTTGGTTCTGTTTTCATTATTCACCACTTTGTATAACACTCATACTCATTGATTTTACGAAGATCCCATTCGATTCTTGAAGCTCGTAGCATTGGCGTTCTAAAAGAAATGGGATTCTATTCCTACATTGAGGGTTTGAACTAGAGATCTCTCATTTGAGGGGCAACAACTATGCCACTCAATCACAAGGCTTTTGGCAATTTACACGTTATTACACAAGAAAATTAAAACACCTAAAACGGGTGGACAGAAAATGATTGCAACGTACTGTCCCATAAGAGACGAACAAGAGAAGATACTGGCTACGAGTTTCCCTTGTCAACTCCAAGCATACCCAATCACGAGGCTCTGCTTGGAAATAGCTATGAAGCATTGTAGTTTACATGCATCACAAAATTCTACAAGCTAAGCTAAAAGAGAGGGAGAGAAGGGAATGAAAAGCATGAGAGGCGAACACTTTGACATAGCCTAAAGGACCAAACTCACGAGATGATTGAAGCTAGCAAGGTAGAATTTTAAGGAAAAAACAATTTACGATAATTTCTTTTTGTTATAAAAGGCAATTTGGTTTATGTCATGCTTGCTTCACGCAAGCAACTAAATGGGGGTGGTGGGGTGGGGGGTAGGGGGTTTGCTTCTTAACGTGGCTTTAAAGACTTCACCCAGTGTTTAAACACCACCCCAAATTAAAACTTTCACAATCCATATAAATATACATCTAAAAAGAAAAATAAATAAAATATATATATACACACACACAGATATATATATATATATATATATATATATATATATATATATATATATATATATATATATATATATATATATATATATATATATATATATATATATAGAGGAGCGCTCATATGTGGCCATGTTGTTAGGTGTGGTCATATGGTCAATTATAGACCATTAGATTAGATAGATCTAATGATTCATATTAATCAAGATTTTTTCCAGTATTTTCGCGCACATTCTCCTACCCAGAAAACTGTAAGGGTAAACTTGTCATAAAACACCGGAATAGGGAAAATCACATTGTTGTGTGTTTTATTACACTATTGGTGCATGTTGTCAACACTGTTGGTGTATTCTGGAACTCGACCGCTATAAATGGCCACTGTAATTACCATAACACGGGAATACACCATTGGTGTGTTTCACTATGGTGTGTTTTATTACACTATTGGTGTATGTTGTCAACACTGTTGGTGTATTCTGGAACCCGCCCGCTATAAATGGTCACTGTAATTACCATAACACCCCCACTTACTAAAACGCGCGAAAATTCTCAGAATTACCACTGCCTTTAGATTAAACTGATTCAACGACCCAGATACGACCACACGACCACACCTAATGACATGACCACATATGAGCGCTTTTCTATATATATATATATATATATATATATATATATATATATATATATATATATATACACACATCATATCAGTATATCACCAAACAAACAAACCCTACAAACCCTTCTTTCTTAAACCTTCAATTCATTTCTCTTCAAGAATCTGATCATCATCGTTAAGAAAACCCTAAGTTAATTATGTGACAGATTTATATATTGATCTATATATATATATATATATATATATATATATATATATATATATATATATACCGTGTTTCTTTCTTTTCTGAAAAGATATATAGTCGTCGATCATGAGCTCAAATCCGAGTACTAGCAGTGCAGCTGCAGGTGGCAGACCCGGGCCGGGCGGTGGCGGCGGAGGAAGCGGCGGTGGAGCCGTGGAGGAGGCGGGCCATGCGGGGCATGCAAGTTCTTGAGAAGGAAGTGCGTGGCGGGGTGCATATTCGCTCCGTACTTTGACTCCGAGCAAGGAGCCGCCCACTTTGAGGCGGTGCACAAGGTGTTCAGCGCCAGCAACATCTTCGAGCTCCTCCTCCATATTCCGGTTCACAAGCGGCTCGACGCCGTCATCACCATCTGCTACGAAGCTCAGTCCCGCCTCCGCGACCCCGTCTACGGCTGCGTCGCCCATATCTTCGCCCTTCAACAACAGGTACGTTTATTGAGTCATCGCGATTTATGGCCTTCACTAGTCGTGTCGGGTGGAGTGTGGGACACGGGACAAGGGATTTTGCCATTTGTGGTTAAGAAATCTGGTGCATAGCCCACACGGGCAGGTCAATTAGTTAGTTCTTAGTTGGTAGATTGTGAGCTAGAAATTTAGTTCTTTGTGTGAAAGAATAATCTTGGTGAGGTCACTCAGTTTGGCCTGTCAGTTAGTTCTTAGGTGGTAGATTGTGAATTAAAAATTTAGTTTTTTTTTTTGTGTGCAAGAATAATTTTGGTGTATAGCTGGTACAGGCAAATCAGTTAATTTTTGGGTGATAGATTGTGGGTTGGGGGTAAGGATTTTGGTGCATGTTTGGATAAAAGACTGATTTCTCCCCTTTAAATTCCGATAATAGTTCACGACTTAAACATCCTGACCTTCACAGCCAAACACTGTCTTATCACCATAGTTGGTAAACCTCATATTCCGTTACAAACTTTGCTTGCTTCCTCTTTTAGTGTCTTCCCTTCTCAACTCTCCCTTTTACAGACACGTCAAAGCCTTTCTTCTTCTTAGTAAAAAAGGTCGAAGAGCAGATTTCATACTACAAGACGAATCAACAATATAATATAATATAATATAATATAATTTTCAATCATATATTCATGTTTTGTTTTTAATTTTGAAGAAATTAATGAAAACATGTCCTGCAAAATCCCATAAAATCCTAATCATGTTCTTGCACGGTTAAAAACACTCTATTTTTCAATCATCCAAAAGTGATTAAAAATTGAGAAACTCAAAAAATTGGATGCACACACTAATGAGTTGGTCGCTAATGTTGTGAATAACACTAAAAATTGGATGCACACACTAATGGGCATCTCAATGGTAAACATCTCTCATGAGCAAAATCTTGCTACCCGGTTGTTTGTTTTTCACATCAATATCATTATACGGAGTAATATTTAATAAGGATCTATGGATCATCCATACACTTAAAGTAAAACTTGCAATCATTCAAAAAAATTTCTTTTGCCAATTGGTTTGGACGTATGTAAACAATGGTCGATCTTTACATAGGATAAATAGGTGTTTTCCTTTGAACCTTTCCTTGTGAATATATATTTACTCTACTAGCTGTTTGGTAGAACGCGATGTCTGTAAACCAACTGCTGTTTGTACAGACGATGATATATTACACATAAGAACCTTCCAACCATGTTATGTGTCTCATGACTATGCCCATTTTTGTCATGGGTCAGTGTCCCGGGTTCTATAAGAGTTTATAAATAATTGAACCCAATCAATTATCCTTTGAAGCGACCCACTGCTCTCTCACATAGGTGATTCTTTTTCGAGTACCCTGCATATATACTCACATTTCAACCGACAATTTGAATCATTAAAGCGTCAATGTGCTAACCTGGTGTGGGAGTCACCGTTCTATCGAGGAGTGGTAGGGAGTTTGAGACTCCTATAGTGACATGTTTCGTTCTATAATTTAGTTGTCCCATTGAATCTAGGTGTCAGCTATGTTGGGTATCCACTATAGAAATTTTATTCCAATGGCTTTTGACTCATTCTTCGTGTTAACTTCTCTACCAACCTCTTTGCTCAACCCTTTGGTTAGCGGATCCGCTATATTATTCTTTGATTTTACGTAGTCAACAGAGATAACACCCGTTATGAGAAGTTGTTTAATAGTGTTATGTCTACGACGTATATGTTTAGACTTACCATTATACGTGTTACGTTATACCCTTCCAATTGTGATGTGACTATCGCAATGCACACATATTGGAGGTACAAGAATATCCTCGAGAAAATGACGTAGCCACTCAACCTCTTCACAACATTTATCTAAGGCTATCAGCTTAGATTTCATCATAGTAGATCTGGCTATAACAGTTGGTTTTGAGGATTTCCATGAAACGACTGTACCGGCTAACATAAACACGTAGTCTACTCATGAACTTAGAGTCATTAATATCCGATATCCAATTAGTGTCGTTATACCCTTCAAGTATAACATGGTATCTTGTATAGTGCAGTCCAAGGTCACGAGTATACCTTAGGTATCTCATAACCTTTACTATTACCTTCCAATGCGTATCACATGGATTACTCGTATACATACTGAATTTACTAACTGCAAAGGCAATATCTGGCCTAGTACAGCTCATTAGATACATCTAACTACCAATAACCTGATCATAATTTACTTGAGAAATACACTATTCATAGTTATTGGTTAGATGAGCATTTGTATCAAATGATGTCATAGCCAATTGATTATATATCATATTTGTTAAATTTTGCAAGGATCAATATAGTGAGATTGACTCAACAAAAAACCACTAGGTCTTCTAAGGATATTAATTCCGATGATTTAATCATTCGATTGTTACTACCAACGATGAGTATATCATCTACGTATAAACAAAGAATGACATAACGATGAGAATATAATTGTGTTGTATTCAATAATAATGTCTGAGAGTATAAGGAGCGAATATATAGAGATGCTAGATAGAATTCTAGTCTAACACGAATAATATAGTCCTAGTCTAATATGAAAAATATAGTCCTAGTCTAATATGAATAATATAGTCCTAATACTCCCCCTCAAGCACAAGGTTGGCTAGCCAAAACATTGAGCTTGTCACGGAGAGAGTTAAAACGAAGAGACGATAAAGACTGTGAAAATATCCGCTAGTTGATCCTTGGTTGAAATAAAGTGCACTTCTAACTCCTTTTTGGCTACTTTATCGCGAACAAAATGATAGTCAATCTCAATGTGCTTCGTGCGGGCATGAAACACTGGATTGACACATAAATAAGTAGCTCCCAAATTGTCACACCATAGTCGATGAGGAGACGCGGGAAGGATGCCGATTTCATGTAACAGAGAAACGAGCCATGTAACTTCTACAGATACATCAGCGAGTCCCTTGTATTCTGCTTTAGTCGAAGAACGTGCCACAGTCCGTTGCTTCCAAAAACCCAAGATATAAGATTACTGCCCAAGAACACAACAAAGCCACTAGTAGATTTGCGATCATTCGGATCGCCAGCCCAATCTGAGTCAGAATAGGCGTGAATATCTATAGATGTAGACTGAGAAATAAGCAGGCCAAGATTCAGGGTGCATTTGACATACCGCATGACTCTCTTTAGAGAGGCCCAGTATGTAGTAGTGGGAGCATGCATATGTTGACACAAGAGATTAACAGCATAAGATAGATCTGGACGAGTTACCGTAAGATACTGGAGAGCACCAGCAAGACTCCTGTATTGTGTTGGATCGGCATAGGGAACGACCACGTCGTCTGTGATTTTCGTAGAAGAGACAGGCGTGATTACTGGCTTGCAGTCCACCATGCCAGCACGTTTGAGAATATCCTTCATTTACCGTTGTTGGGATAAAACATACCGCCAGATAACGGGATAGTTTCTATTCCCAAGAAGAAAGAAGGCACACCCATATCACGAACCTTAAATTCAAGTGCTAATTTATCAATAAGAGCAGTAACACGATCTGAGTCAGAACCCATAATTAAAATGCCATCAACATACACCAAGAGATAAAGACGAATATTGTCACGAGAATAGATAAAAAGAGACACATCCGTTTTAGAAGGCGAGAAGCCCACCGAGACAAGTAAATCATGTAGCCTTGTGAACCATGCACGTGGAGCCTGTTTGAGACCGTATAGAGATTTTTTAAGCAAACATACATGATTAGGTAACGACTTATCCTCATAACCAGGTGGTTGTCGCATGTAAACAGTTTCAGCTAGCTCGCCATTTAAAAAAGGCGTTGTGAATATCCAACTGGCGAATAGACCACCAACGAGATACGGCTAAAGATAAGAGAAGACGAACCGTATGTAGTGGGCTTAACCACATGACTAAAGGTCTCAAAAAAAGTCCTCTCCAGCAACCTGATTAAAACCCTTGGCTACTAACCTTGCTTTATGACGGTCTATTGAACCATCGGCATTTCGTTTGGTTCTGAAAACTCACTTGCAACCAACAACACTCATACCTGGTTGAGATGGAACAAGACGCCACATATGATTATGGACCAAGGCATTGAACTCCGCGTCCATTGCATCACGCCACTCAGGAAACTTGACCGCCTGAGAGTAACAGGTAGGCTCAGGCAATATAGTGAAAATAGTGGTTAAGGCAACATGTTGATGCGGGCTGGGGCTGCGAGTGTTCATGTTATGCGACCGAGGAGGCGGAGTAGCACGTCGAGGACGTCCGCGCGGCCTGCCGCGCTGCTCAACCTGCTGGTCCGAGACAGTCCACTCACTCGATGCGGACTGCTCGTGATCGTGACCGGCATCACCGCCAGAAGCCGCCACGGGCTCGTGAATCTGCCGAGCGCCATCAGTAACCGTGGCCGAGACATCACTTCCTTGGCCTGTCACAATTGGTGCAGTAGCCCACGGTTCGGAACGCGATGTAGCAACCTGAGAGGCAATAGGAGAAACAAAGGGAAACACAGTCTCATCGAATCGCACGTGGCGACAGATAAAAAACCTTGTTAGTGTTAGTGTCCAAACAATGATAGCCACAATAAGACGGATGATAGCCTAGAAAGACACAGGGAGATGAACGAAACTGGAGTTTATTGCGATTATAAGGACGTAGGATAGGAAAGCACAAACAGCTAAACACTCGCAAGTAAGAGTAGGACGGGGGAGATCGATGTAAACGGAAGTGAGGGGACTCATCAGATAGAACACGAGTAGGCATTTTATTAATTAGATACACAGCAGTTTCAAAAGCATAGTCCCAAAAACGAGACGGGACAGATGCTTGAGCCATTAAAGACAACCCTGTCTCAACAACATGACGATGTCTGCGTTCCACTCGACCATTTTGCTCGTGAGTATGCGCACAGGATTGTCTGTGGCGAATACCTAGCGAAGCAAGAGTGGAACCAAGCTTTTTATATTCTCTCCCTAAATCAGATTGAAAGGAAATAATCTTGTGAGAAAAAGAACGTTCAACGAGTGATCGAAACTTATCAAATATAGCATACAAATCATATTTAGCACGCATGGGATAATACCATATATAACGAGTGTAATCATCCACAAACAACACAAAATATTTATAGCCAGACGCAGAAAGTAATGGCGCCGGACCCCAAATATCTGAATAAATTAATTCCAAAGGATGCGTACTAGTAGTTTCGACACGAGTCAAAGGAAAATGAGAGGATTTTCCTAATTGACAAGAGGAACAGACATTGGGAAGATCACTAGAATTAAATGTACTAATAGACGAAGACGCTAAAATTTTACGTAAGACTCGAGAATGAGGATGCCCCAACTGCATGTGCCAAACGTAAGAGGATCGCGCAGCAACAAACGCAGCAGGAGCTGAGGAGGACGCAGGCCATGTGTAGAGACCCCCAGACGCATGTCCCTTAAAATGAACTTTCCTGGTTAAAATGTCTTTCACATAGAAATAAAGGGGGTAAAACTCAAAGAAAATATTATTTTCCTTTGCAAAACGCTGGACAAATAATAGAGAAGAAGAGAGACTAGGGACATGTAAAACATCATGTAACTTAAAAGACCTAGAATCAGTAGCTAACGAAGCGGAACCAACATTAACAATAGGCAAACCTGTACCACTACCGACTCGCAGAGTCTCCGGGCCATCATAACTTGTCGGAGAAGTCATCAAAGAATAATCAGGCGTAGCATGATTTGTAGCACCAGTGCCAGGGAACCACTGATGAAGACCGTTGGAATCACCATTATCATCAGAGACGACCATATTAGCGTGAAAACCCGGAGCCCCTGAATAACGCCGAAAACAGTTGGCTCCCGTGTGACCAAAACATTTACAAATTTGACAAGGATCATCATAGCGCCAAAAAAAATTGACTCCCGTGTGACCAAAACGTTTACAAATTTGACACGGATCATCATAATGCAAAAAACAATTGGCTCCCATGTGGCCGAAACCTTTATAAATTTGACACGGATCATCAATGCCACGTCGTTGACTGGACCGCTTCTCATACGGTGTATCTTGGTTCGATGCCATCGGCTACTGCTACGAAGCGAGGTGACATGGATGTTGGAAAAGAAAACCCTAGCTAACTGATACCAGATGAGAATATAATTGTGTTGTATTCAATAATAATGTTTGAGAGTACATGGAGCGAATATATAGAGATGCTAGATAAAATCCTAGTCTAACACGAATAATATAGTCCTAGTCTAATATGAATAATATAGTCCTAGTCTAATATGAATAATATAGTCCTAATAATAACAGTCTACCGTTTCCTTAACATAGACACATTTGTCACTCTCGTTTATTTTAAACCCATTTGTTAACATCAAATGGTCAAATATCCCGTGCCACTGTTTAGGCGCTTGTTTTAAACCATATAACATTTTTTTTTTCAAGAAACATAACTTTATTAAGGGCGAATAGCCCGATGGGAGACAAACCCTCGAAGATCATACAGCAAAGCCAATTTAGCATTCATAGGTAAAGAACTGAGAGAGCAAAAAACTTTTGAAGCAACAAAATTTAAACCAGCTAATGCTAGTGCGTCTGCAACTTGATTGCCCTCTCGGTAGACATGTCTTATCGAAGAGCCCCACGCACCAAGACACGAACGAATGTAGAGAACGGCATCTTGAACCCTCCAAGGGATCCTGATTGATCCCGACGCAATCAGGTTGGCCAGGACTAACGAGTCCACTTCAATTTCATATGGTCGTTTAGCAAAAGCCTCGCACCATTGGAAAGCATTCTGCAGCGCCAAAGCCTCGGCCTCCAAAGCTGACGAAACCACCATTTGGAAGCAAAGCCCTGCAACAAGCTGCCCACGGGAGTCACGCAAGCAAGCGCCTCCCGCAGCCCCCTCCGACGAGAATGCCGCATCCGTGTTGAGCTTGAGTCTCCCAGCCGGCGGTGTGAGCCATCTGATCCATATAGTTACCCTCCGGGGTGGAGGAACCAACGTCATCAAACCTGTTGCCTGGAGAAAGTCATCGCCGGGTCCCTTACGATGCATCAGTCTAGCCAGTGACATCATATGCAGCTCTAGTTTGATTTTACCAACAATGCCCAGAACTGAGAAACATGTATCTTCATAGATACCTTAATTATATGAGAACCAGAGAAACCATAAAATTAAACAAGGTACCAGCGTAGCAGCCCAATGCCTTGCCGAGCCTAGACATGCCAACAACCACCACGCGTGACACTCCGCTCTAATTGATGTTGCAACTGCCGGTGATAAGCCAAAAATCCCCCGGAAATAGCTCCAAACCCGTTGCACCATATCACATCTGTAAAGGCAATGATCGGTCGAGGCGGAGTCTCGTCGGCACAGCGGGCAAATTGAAGGTAAACACACCCCAAATTGCTAGATCACATCTGGAAAGGGGAGAAAATATCGCAGCAGGCGCCACATGAAGAAAGCGATTTTCGATGGAAGCCCATCTCCCCAAATGCTTGAAGAAGAAAGGCTGCGTCCTGCTTTTGTTCAGAGAGCTTCGCAGGCTGATGAGAAGGTGAAGTCTCCGTAGGAGGATAGAGTCCAAACCACTGCATTTGAGGTCTCAACAATATTGTCCTCCACAAAATCGCTAATGTGCTGCATTCTTTTCCAGGTGATTGAATTAGCCGAGCGAATACCCTGCATGAATTCACTCCATAAGGAGCCCCCTTGCAGCAGATTAAAATAGAGTTTAGCTGAAAAAGCTTGCTGAATTGAGGCCAGTGAGTGAATTCCCAGACCGCCTTCATCCACGGGGAAGCAGAGTTTTTTCCACGAAGCCCAGTGACGTTTTGGTTTACCATTTTCCGATCCCCATAAGAAGTTAGCAAATTTAGCCTCCAGGGCCCTCTCGGTCTGTCGTGGCAGTAGAAGCGAAGCCGCCGTATAAATGGGGATCGCGGTTAAGACATGCTTAATGAGCGTTAGACGACCTCCCGGTGATAATAACTTGCATTGCCAACCAAGTAATTTGTTGTCAACCTTTTCGAGAAGATGTTGGTAAAATATTGGGCGATTTCTACCTTTGAAAAGATTGACCCCGAGGTAGCGAAAAGGCAGGGTCGATCTCTGCATACCCAAAACGCGTGACATGGTGGCGACTCTACTGGTAAACCATATAACAATTTAACCAATTTACATACTTTCTTCTCTTGGCCCCACAAAATCCTCAGATTGTTCCATATAGATTTCTTATCTAACTAGTCATTCAAAAAAGCTATTTTTACATCCATTTGATGAACTTTCAAATTTCACAACGCGAATATGGTAAGTATCATCTTAATGAAATTTATTCCCGTCACATATAATGCCATTTTTTGCAAAAAAAATTCAACAAGTAATTATGGCAAGATTTTTTCACACACACTTCCTAATGTTGTTTGGAGGAATACTAAAGTATCCTAATTACCCATCTACCAATTGATTTGCAAGGAAATATGTTCATTTACTTTTCTCACTCAAAAAGTGAAAAATCTTTTGTAAGTCCCTGGCATGGTTGCAGTAGGCGCTAGGCGGTCTAGGCGGCGCCTAGGCGGAATCTAGGCGGGCACCAAAAAAATTAAAAAAAAATAGTGACAGATTTGTAGTTTGACAATTTTAATGAGGTTGTTTTCAACATTCAATCAAATAACACATCTAAATAAATGAAATAATGATAATTTATAAGTCATAACGTCATAATAAAATTAAAATCAATAATTAATGAAAGACGACATCAGTCAAAATCGAACAAAATCGGTCAAAATCAGAAAAAATCGGTCAAAATCAGAAAAAAATCGGTCAAAATCGGACGAAATTGGTCGACTTGGCCAAGTTTGGCCGCCCAGGCGGCCCAGCGGCCGGCCGAGTTTTGACCGCCTTTAGGCCAAAACGGCAAGGCTCGGTGCCGCCTAGCGCCTAGGCGGCCGAGTTTTGCAACCATGGTCCCTGGTGAGCAAACAACTTATTAAAGTCCACAAAGATCATAAAGTCTTCTAATGATCCTTCATGACCCTCTTTTTGAATGTCTCATGAGAGTCTCTCCATAGCCAAAATGAACAGATATGGATTGTGACCCCATTGTTTTAATCGATGACTCAAAAGTAATGATAAGCAATATTTCTCAAATTTAAAGCATCAAGATTTTACACCATCAGATGAAAAACATTATAAGATTTATTAACTTTTGGAAAAACTGAAGTTGTCAGCATTGATTCAATGAAATCTTAATCTAAACTATCATATACACTTTGTGCAAGCCCATATTGATCACCATATAGTAGTGTTCGTCATGTGTACTCCAAATATGACCATAATCTCCTTACTCTTACTAGTGACCCTTGCGATGACTTGTACAAAATCATGTCAGGCTCTCCTCCATCCACTTATGATAATAATCTTTTCTCATAAGTCAAAATGTCTTGAATACTCAGAAAGGGTGAATATCTTGCTCCAGGGCTCATGAGAGCAATTCAAAATTCGAGAATCTCTATAATAGTCTTCTCAAAAGACTATGCATCTTCTAGGTGGTGCCTTGATGAACTTGTGCAAATTGTGAAGTGTAAGGAGAAGGGAAAACAAATAGTTTTTTCCATTTTTTACGATGTTGATCCTTCTGAAGTGTGTAAGCAAAGTGGGAACTATGGCTTGGCTTTTGCAAAGCACGAAGAACATTTCGTTCAGAGTCACCCAACAATCCTGGTGAACGTAGTCGATTGTGGTGTCCTTATGATATCCATGATGTGCTTATAGGGGAAAAGGTAATGATTTTTAAATTTGTCTCATTCTCAATTATTATGCATAAATCTTACATCAACTATGTTACTATTTCATATCAAAATGAAGATATTCTTTATCTCTTATGAAAATAATAATACTATTTATTCACCACAAATTATCTTCTTGATAATTTATTTCTTATGGGATTAACATGACACAAACTAATGATTTTCTATTATTTGCCGTGCCTCAATGCATAAATGTGTTAGATTTTCTAAATTTTGTGTACATCACTTTAGTTTATTTTGGGCACGCTTTTGGATAATGACTGCGAATTTTTCTCATCATCTAATTGAACAAAAAAAAAAATTACACATTATTATTGGTAGTTTTAGAGAATTGAAGGACTTATTATGCTAGATTTGTAAGTTAAGGACCAAAGCTAGTAATACCTCAAACTCGAAGTACATTTAGTAGAATTTAATCTAAAGAATATAAACCATATTTCGCTAGCTAAAACCCTCTAAAGATTTTTATACACAATTGTTGTTCTCTTAAAATAGTCATTTATTTACCACACAAAAATATCGTATGTGTTTGTTTAACTAATTGTGCTTTTTATGTGTAGGTTACAAGAAAGATTGAGGTGATTGTATTCAACTACTCTCCTATGAAAAATGTGAAGTACAATACAAAAGCATTTAAGAACATGGAGAATTTAAGAGTTCTTGAAATTGATGAAGTCCATCTTGATGGAAAATTCAAACATCTATCCAGTTCCAAGGTGCTTATATGTTTGCAATGGAACCACTGCCCTTTGAAATATATCAATATTCCATCAAGTGGTTTTTTTGAGAAGCTTGTAAGTCTGAAAATGGGATATAGCAACATCAAAGAATTTAAAGCCCCTCTAAAGGTAATTTGATAATATTTTATTTTTATCTATAACTCATTGTTATAGCAACATAGTTAAAGATAATAAATTATAATTCAATATATGTTTTTTTATTTCTGTTGCTTTTTGTTTATTGAATTGATCAAAACAATATTTTCCTTGTCTCGAGTTTTTGGATTTCTCTGACTGCTTTCATCTCACAAGGACTCCGAACTTTAGTGGCTGTCAAAATCTCCGTAAGTTATCATTTATAGGATGCTTTAGTTTGTTAAAGGTGCATTCTTCCATCGGAGAATTGGGGAAATTAGTTTCTTTAAGTTTTGGTTGCTGTCAAAAGTTAAAGAAACTTCAAAAGAACGTCAGCCATTTGCGATCACTGCAAGATCTTCATATATTCTATTCGTTAGAACTTGAAGTATCCCATGAAATTTTTGGAAATTTAACCTCATTACAAAGTCTAAGTCTTGAACATACCCTTTCATATGGGGTGCTCTCCTACGTGTCTCATTTGTTCAACCTTGAATCAGTTGAGTTGAATTTATGCAAGAACCAAGAAGTACTCCAACTTCCTCACACTGTTGAAGTGGTCAGATTGCATGGTTGTGTCAATCTGAAAATGATCCAAGAGCTTCCACTTAACCTTAGGAGTATTTATTTAGATAGTTGCAAAAGTCTTAAAATGCTTTCAAAACTTCCTCCAAATCTTGAGGATATTACTTTAGATGGTCGTGAAACCCTTGAAATGCTCCCGAAACTTCCTCTCAATCTTAAGACAATTAGGTTATCTAGTTGCAAAAGTCTTAAAATACTTCCAAAACTTCCTCCCAATCTTAGGGCGATTTGTTTAGGTGGTTGTGGAAATTTTGAAATGCTTCCAGAACTTCCTCTAAATCTTGTGTATATTACTTTAGATGACTGTGAAAACCTTGAAATGCTCCCGGAACTTCCTCCAAATCTTGAGTATATTACTTTAGATGGCCGTGAAACCCTTGAAATGCTCCCGGAACTTCCTCTCAATCTTAAGACAATTAGGTTATCTAGTTGCAAAAGTCTTAAAATACTTCCAAAACTTCCTCCCAATCTTAGGGCGATTTGTTTAGGTGGTTGTGGAAATTTTGAAATGCTTCCAGAACATCCTCTAAATCTTGTGTATATTACTTTAGATGGCTGTGAAAACCTTGAAATGCTCCCGGAACTTCCTCTAAATCTTGAGTATATTACTTTAGATGGCTGTGAAACCCTTGAAATGCTCCCGGAACTTCCTCTCAATATTAAGAAAATTAGGTTATCTAGTTGCAAAAGTCTTAAAATGCTTCCAAAACTTCATCCCAATCTTAGGGAGATTTATTTAGGTGGTTGTGGAAATTTTGAAATGCTTCTAGAACTTCCTCCAAATCTTGAGTATATTACTTTAGGTGGCGGTGAAAATCTTGAAATGCTCCCGGAACTTCCTCTCAATCTTGAGAGAATTAGTTTATCTAGTTGCAAAAACCTTAAAATGCTTTCAAAATTTCCTCCCAATGTTACTGAAATCTTCTTAGATGATTGTGAAAACCTGAAATTGCTCTCAGAACATCCACCAAAACTTCAAGATCTTAAGGTTCAAAATTGTGAGTTGAATGAAAAAGTATCAAACTTATCAAATTGTACGGGGTTGCGTTATTTGCATCTCGTTGGTTGCAAAAAGTTGAAGGAGTTTAAAGGTTGGGAGAATCTTTATTCCCTAAGGACAATGGTGTTCGGAGGTGATCCCCATTCCGATTTCTCAGAAAGCATTAAAGAGGTACATATGTTTTTCCCGCTCTTCAATTTATGTAATTTCTATCCATTAATTCTTACTATTGTCACATATGTTTGATTTCCTTTCACAGATTTTAAAATGCTCCAAGAATTCCAATGGTCTTCTTGCTTGTAATGAAATTCCTGGTTGGATTAGATGTCAAAAAGAAAAATCGTCAATATCATTTCAATGTCCATCATCCAATTTGAAGAATAATACATTGGAATTTTATGGATTTGTTTTTTTGGTTGTGTTGAATCCGGCTCCACTACTCCCACCACTTTATTGTTATTATGGCATCAGAATTGAAATGCATCATTCCAAAGACTTCCCAAAAACATGGTATTTTTATCGTGGTCCAATCCAATTAGAAGTGGAAGGAATTTCATTTTTACATGTCATTACAGCTAATTACGATTATGATGGGTATGGAGATATAAAAGCCAGAGAAATCATCAAAGCTACACATGTAACTGAAGTTTATGAAGGATTCTACAAAGATGGGAATATATCATTTGGTGAAGCAAGTTTGGAGAAAGAAATAAGAGTTAAATCAAATGTGGTGAAGAAAATAGGAGTTGAAGCATTATACAGAGATAAAGATGGCTCCCTACAACTTCTACCCCTCACTAAAGTTGGGTAGCTAGAACACTGAGGATGAAGAAGAAGAAGAATGACTGGAAGCGCTAAATATAAGACCCAAAAAGATTTTTTTTGTTCATGTTACGTTATGTACGTCTCATACATATTCGAGGATGGTAGGCGTTGGACAGAACAGAGCAGAGTGGAGTGGCAGAGAATCTTTTCGTGGCATTTTGGAATGGAACAGAAGTTGCAATCAAAGTTTTCTTGGAGCAAGATTTGACTGCTAAAAACATGGAGGATTTCTGCAATGAAATTTATGTCCTAAGGTATCTTGTCGTCTCTCTCTTTTTTTAATGTCTTTTCCTTATAGTTATATTGTTTCTCTGTGCTTGCACAAAGCTTCCACATCTGTCCATGGTTACTGAGTACATGGAGATGGGATCACTTTACTATTTGATTCATTTAAGTGGTCAAAAGAAGCTCCTTAGCTGCGGAGGAGACTTAAGATGCTATGTGACATATGCATGTGGGTTATTTTTATGTTTAAAAACAATCGTGAAATTATGATGATAGGTTTTGTGTGGCAGGCTGTTGTTTATTAACTGATCACTGTTAAGTTCTATCTGCGTACTAAGAGGGTTAATGTGCACTCATCGCACGAAGATAGTTCTTTGAGATCTAAAAACTGCAAATTGTCTTGTGAATAAGCATTGGACAGTAAAGATATGTGATTTCGGTCTCTCAAGGCTAATGACAGATACACATGTGAGAGACATCACATCTCCGAAGTGAGGTGGAGGGTGTCATATTAATGAGGTATTAGCTGTATTTTTTAACAAATTGGATTCTGTTAGATGTTCAAGCCGTGGTAGGGAATTTGCTTGGTTGGACTATGTTTAATTAGTTCAGTAGCTTTATGACTTTGTGGTGTCCAACCTATTCATTTGCTGATCTGCAGTTTGACCGCTGTTACTTCACTCGAGAAGTATGAGGTTGATTCAAAGCAAATTGGTAGACTGGAAGTTGGAAACACAAAAACAAATCAATCAAGACAATTCCTGATGTAAATATTTGAGGTATTAATCCTTGTCTCTGTAAAATGCCAGTGCATTGACTAATATTAGATGCTAAATAGTGCTAAATAAACTGAAGTGGTAAAAACTTTAAAGAACAAGGAAAAGAGTTAGAGCCTAATTTACTGCCTAAGTTATCCACTGTATTTCACAAGTTACAATATCAAGGGTCCTATATTCTGCCTCGGAAGAGGATTTTGAAACTTTTACTTGCTTCTTTTAGACCTCCATATCTAAGAAGATGCAGAACTTTGTGACAGATCTCTTGGTGTCGGGACAGGCTGCCCAATCAGAGTCAGTGAACCATTTTAGTTGGAGTGTGGATTGAGCTGGAAAGAATATGCCTTGAGCCGAAGCTGATTTGATATATTTTAGGAGTCTTTATGTGCAACTTGTAAATGTATGTCTGTGGGGAAATCTAGAAACTGAGATAACTGCTGTTTAGCAAAATTGATGTTTGGTCTTGTAATTGTGAAGATATAGCAATTTTTCAATTAATCTTCTATAATGAGTGATATCCTCCAAAGCATCTTCTATAATGGTGAGATAGCAGGGCTTGTGTTCAATCCGGCTCCACTACTCCTGCCACTTAATCGTGTTAATTTATGACATCAGAATTGAAAAGCATGATTATATTCCAAAGCCTTACCAAAAATAATGAATACGAATAAATATTATGGTATCCAATTAGAAGTGGAAGAAATCTCATTTTTACCTGGCATTATAACTTATGATCTTTACTATAATGGGTGTGGAGATATAAAAGTTGGAGAAGTCATCAAAGTTCCTCATACAACTAAAATTATTGTTATTAAAAGATTCTACCGTCATAAGATTAGATTACCATCAGCTAAAGCAAGGACGATGGTGGAGAAAATAAGAGTTGAAGCATTATATAGAGATGAAGATGGCTTCCTACAACTTTTACCATTCACTAAAATTGGGTAGAACACTGAATAAGAAGAAGAAGAGGAACTTTTGAAGCCGCCCAAATATGTGACGCAAAATAATCTTTTATGTCATGCATATTTTCTAGGAAACTTCCCATCTTTTAAGTCATCCATATTTTCTTTCCTTTTTTATTTATTTATTATTTTCCTTTGGAGTTTTTCTTTAGACTTTTCTCTCGTATTTTCTTTAGTCTTCGATTCACATCTTTATATTAAAAAGTGTTACATGTTTCACATGGGACAGTCTTTCAAAACACAAATTTGTAACTTTTAAAGTATGAAAAAATATGTTATACTAAATTTGTACATTAATATTGTCTAATAACTTTTGTCGGGTTTCTTATGTTGTTTTAGTATTTCTTGAGTGGTACTTAAAAAAAAAAAAACATAAATGTACATGAAAATTTTCAAATTGAATTAGGTGTGAGGAACAAGGAGCATAAATATGTTTCAGGCAATATGTTATTTTACTAATTTTTTTTTTTTTTTATAATTCATGTAATTTGTAGTATACATAGGTAGGGCACAAATGAGAGAATTGAATTTGCAAAATGTACTTTGTTAATACTAAATTTTATTTTTGATCAATAAAATACACAATAAAAGTGCATTAAATATTTTCTTTTCAAAGGTTGACACACAAGTTATGGGTCTATGGTTGAGCCTCTACATATATATCAAATTATCAATATAATGTCCAAAATAGTGTTGTCGGTCTCTCTTATTTTTCACGTCATTTTTCTTTATATTTTACTTTCCTTTTTTTTTTTTAGTTAATCATCCATTGTAGAATTTATAGGACACTTGGCTTACAATCAATAATTTCCCTGCTGTCTTCCACTCAATCTCTACGAAATTTCCTTCTTCATTTTTCCTTCACTTTTCTCTTTACACTTTTCTTCCTTAGCTTTCCTCTTTCCCTTTGTCATCCATCTCTAGACTTCAGTTAGTTGAGTCTTCCACTCAATCTTTACGAGATTTCCCTCCTCATTTTTTATTGTTGTCTTTTCTCTTTAGAATTTTTTTTTTATAATAAATCTTCCGTGAATATTACCGATTCCCTCTTTCTGCATGCCTGGCCCTCAATAATGGCCTTTCCTAAAACTCTATTGCATTATTTAATACTTTAATAGTTAATATTAAAATATTAAAATATTAAATATCAACCTAAAAAATATATAGAATTTGAACGATTTAGAGTTATTTTGTTGAAAATGACGACGCCATTTTAAACAAAATAATCCATTTAAAAAAAAAAGAAATAATAACTAATCCGCCAATTAGGCGGCCGTCCGCTTGGCATCTAGGTGCGACTTTTACAACATAATGAAGTAAATGAAAATGGAGAATTATAATCATTTCAAATACTACACATTTTTGTAGGACACTTTAGCTTTCTATGGTCTGTCCCTTCATAATTTCCTCCCCAACTACATTATTGGGGGAAGTAAATGCAGTACTACAATCATGCTTGTTAAAACGCGTCCGGAGACGCAGGGACCCAGACTGCGCAATAGCTAGGAAATTAATGTTGCTTAATAAAATGATATATGTGCTTGCCAATATGCCATTCCCTTAGAGAAGTGTTGAAAAAATAGCATTAAAAAGGCATTTTAAGTGGCTATTTTGTGGTACAATTATCAGTGGGGTCCACTTCCGATTTGGGGGTGCAAATCAAATTCCAAATAGAAACGAGACGTGTGCGCTAGCACCTGCGGGCACGAATGTCGTAAGGCCCTTCTCGACCATATTTTTAAATGTCAAACGAATGCTATCAAGTACCAATCTCCTATATAAACTTGTTTTGGGAGCAGCAGTTTTAAGTACAAGCAAAAACAAGGAAGTAGTGAAGCACAGAAATTTTAGTTTTCCCAGCTCCAAAATCTTTGCTCCTACTCCATTCTTGAAGCTGTGTTCTGTCCGTGCTCTATTTTGCCGGGTCCGTTCGTTTGGGTGCTCAAACGTCGAACCGTTGTACGTTTTATCTTGGGAAACCTATGCCACAACGCTCCTAGCACTTTTGGGAGGTGGCAAATAATGTTTTAAGGAAAAAGGCCCTTCGCCTAACTCGTACTAACCTTCTTCATTTCTTCCTCTTCGTTCTTGTTTTGGATTATGCTCTAAGCAAAAATCCTCTCTTTCTTGTTGATTGGAATTGTAATCTGGAGGATTACAAATTCTATTTCGGTTGATATAGATATATTATATCGTTTCCCGTAGATATATATATATATATATATATATATATATATATATATATATATTTATATATATATATATATATATATATATATATATATATATATATATATTTATTTATTTATTTATTTATAACCGTGTGGTCTGATTTATATATATTTGTGTGTATATATATATTTCGGATATATATATCCAATAATATTTTATATATTTTTGTGTATATATATATATAAATATTATTTTAGGATATTAAATCAATTTTGGTTCCTTATCACCAACAAGAAGTACATTGATATTTCTTGGATTCTTTGTTTAGATAGCATGAAAGAATGTAGTCCACCCACTACACCTTTTGGCAGTCCAATAATTGTGAATATGATAATAATATTCTTAAAGTATTCAATTTTATTAATAATACTTGATTTACAGAAAGTCTATAACCCCAACTTGAAAGTGTGATTTGGATGACACGCGCTCGTCTTGTGATTCTAATTAATAAAGAATTACTTTAGTGAATTTGTAAGAAATGTCCTCTTCATTTTTCTTTCGTCTGTTCTCTCTATAATTTTCTTATAATGAATATTCCGTGAATATTACAAACTCCCTCTTTAATTTCTATGTACCCTCCTTTCATACAACTTTATTGGTGGACAAAAATGCAGCATTATAAGTTATAACCCCCATCATATACAACAAATTAAATTATTGTATAGTATGACACTTTTTTGTGTTACGTTCCTTGTCCGATAATATGAAAGTTGCTTTATAAATGTAAATATTTAGTATGTGTAAGTATTTTATTACATTTATAAAGTAACTTTTTTGGTGTATTAATTAATAATATATCAAAGGAGGCCAATGAGTCAACGAAGATTGTCAAAAAGTCTCCTGACATCATATACTACACCAAGAATTGCCGTAGGTCCAATATAATTTGCCATAAGGACCCCGACCCAGACTGTGCAATAACTAAGAAATTTCATCACCAAGAAATGAGTAACTAAAGCTGTACGTATTAACAAATTTCTATTGCATTTATAAAGCAATTTTCATATAACTTCTAAGAAATGGGTAACTAAAGTTGTATTAAAAATTTTCCAAAAAAAAAAAAACTGTATTAAAAATATATTGGTAGGGACCCCAACCCAAACTGCGCAATAGCTACGAATGAAATTTTATTCAATTTCCATCTAATTTCTCTTTCCATTTGAGATTTCTTTCATTCTTTCTAAGAGACCCCAACCCTAAGGGCTCCCTACAGAGTATCTGGAAGGACCAGAGAGGAGGCTAGACTTTTGCTTATTGTGCACAAGGAGCTCCCCTCACCCCTCACTTTGAGAGATTGCTCTCATACTGTCGCTAGTGAGACTCGATCTCTGGTCATTCTTTTCAAACTTCAGCTCTATGAGCAGTTGAGCTGCCCATGCGGGCTTTGAACTTTCTTTCATAGTTTTACCTATTTATTGTTCTCAAAAAGTTGAGTCCAGGGCCGATTTTTAGATTTTTGTGGCCCTGTTCGGATAAATAAATAAGGCCCTACCAAAATTAAAATCTATAAAACTAATACCGTAATTTTATTATCTAAATATATAACAAAAAAAATTTATCTGTGCATCGCACGCACACTGCATAGATAATTGGGCAATTATTTGCTCGAATTCAAGCAAGGATAACATAAAAAAAAAAAAAAAAAAACATAATAGATATAACTCATTTCATCAATTGCACTATATAATATTCGTTGTTATAATTTTAAGATTATAACAAATCTTTTCCTTGCAACGCACATGTAAAAATAGACATATTATGGAATAATAATAATAATAGTGTGCACAAGTTTTGAACCTTAGACCTCAAAGTTAAAATACAATAAATACATGTTCCTACCATTTTTTTTATAAAGCCTTTTAAGTTTAATTAAAAAACTTTTAATTTTTATTTCTAAACTAACTAGGTAAAAATAAAATATTGAGCTTCTAAAATTTGGGGCCCTGTGTGGTAGCCCAGCTTGCACAGCCCAAAATCCGGGCCTGCAAGAGTCCCACACTCCGGTCCAACAGAGCTGAACGCATAAGCTAAACATTTACTTATTGCAAATAAGGAATCCTCTCACTTTGAGAGGTTGCTTCCACACTATACACAATTTTATTAGTTTTGAAAAGAGTAAAAGACATTTTTGGTCCTAGATTTATAGTGGCTTGGACAATTTTAGTCCTTTATAAAAAAATTTGCCATTTTATGGACAGAGTTATTGTGGTGAGGACATTTTTGGTCCTCCGTCTATATTTCTGTTAGATAACCGTATGAGAGAGGGGCAATTACGTCAATTTAGGCTATCTCTTTATTGTGAGATGGACGATTTTGGTCCCACAACCATGCCTTTACTCTGACCCTCATTTATTTGTAGTTTTGCACTACGAAATGCTCTGCCCACAACCATGCCTTTACTGCAACTTGGACTCTCCGACTCCTTCGAATTATGACCGAGAAGAAAACAAAACACACAGATATAATAGATAGAAGGAGATAGCCTAAATTGACGTAATTACCCCTCTCTCAGACGATTATCTAACAAAAATATAGACGGAGGACCAAAAATGTCCTCGCCACAATAACTCTGTCCATAAAATGACAAATTTTTTTATAAAGGACTAAAATTGTCCAAGCCATTATAAGTCTAGGACCAAAAATGTCTTTTACTCTTTTGAAAATGTTAAAAAAATGTATGGCGAAGAAAATAAGAGTTGAAGTATAGAGATAGAGAAGATGGCTTCTTACAATTTTTACCCCTTACTAAACTTCTCAAACACATAAGAAGAAGAACATATTTTTTCATCATTTTTGGGTTAATATTATTCCACATTCCGTATCTTCTTTGTGCTTAATACACTACTGGAAATTCTGAAATTTCCGACCACCTAAAAGTTATCTTAAATCAAGCTGAAAGTCTTGTTCCGATCACTTTTGGTATCCGGAAAAACCCTTATTGCTATTTCCGACCACTTTTTGCTTTCAACTTGATTTAATATCACTTTCATGTGGTCGGAAATTAAATAATTTCCAGTAGTGATAATTAATTAAGAGCAGTATATTTTGTACTTATGAATATTTATAATTATATTTATATGGATCCAAAAATACTACTATATTTTAATTAAAAAGTAGTGTTACCCGTTTTGTGTGGAATAATAGTCTTACAAAAAAACGAATTTGTGATATGATTTTCAAGTACAAATTAAAAATTATATTCTACTCACTTGGTCATCCCATGTGAGCCACTTTTCAAAGTACTTTTGTCATAATGAATTAGTGAGTTGATTATAATTTAAATACAATGTGTAAGAGGATCACATTCGACAGGGTGGACAGAGATTGTTAAGAAGAATTGAACCATAACTTTCTAGTATGAAAATTATGTTTCATCCACTTATCACTTTTTTTCCAGAGATATTATTCTTATTTTTTGTCATAATCAGTATTTAATAAGTGGTTATTATTCTTTGAAAAATATTAATTAGATTCAATATTTGTGCCCTGCCGTGCATTATATTACAAATACATAAATGCATGCTGAAATGTCTTCGTTCCTTAAGAGTTAATTTTCAAAATGGTCCTCCGACGACATTGCTGCAATAACATTAGACACAGACAAATAGACAATTAGACCACTCAGATACACAATTGAAAATCATAATGTACAGAATTTAAATTCATAATGTACATAATTGTATAGTAGAATAACATAAACTTCTAACATAATACACATAATCATAAGTCTAAGGAATATCATTTCTATATACTGAGGTATGAAATCTTAATTCAAAATGTACAGAATTTTACAATAGAATACACATAAACTCTTAACATAATAGACATAATCATAAGTCTAAGTAATATCTTTTATGTTTGCTGAGTTATGGAATTCAAATTCATAATGTACAGAATTACATAACAGAATACACATAACCTCCTAATAGAATACATACAAATTAAACACAAGTTTTATAAACATCATTTATGTTTATGGAATTTTTTTTTTTTTTTTGAAAGGATTATGTTTATGGAATTGAAATTCATAATGTACAAAATTTTATAGTATAATACACATAAACTTCTAATACAATACACATAATCTAGTAATATCATTTTTGTTTGTACTCAGTTGCAGAGTTCATATTCATAATGCACGGAAATTATGTAACCCTAGTTTAACTGAAAATGGTTATTAATGTTGAATTTTCATGCCAATGTGAATAAATTTCATGATATATGTATAGAAATTATGTGTCATTTTTCAAATTTCATAAAGTTTTGAACTTCAAACAAATAAAAGTTTGAAGATTAATCATTTTGTGTGGTTTAAATGCTATGAACAAGGACGTTGTTGAGTGTTTATGCGTGTTGTTGCTTCGTCGTTCTTGCTTTTGCTGTTTCCCGTGAGCGTTTTGCAGTGTTTTTGGCTTTTTGAATTTTCAAAATGAAGGAATGTCGTGGGGAAGAAGACTAGTTTTACATGTAAATAATAATAAAAAAAAAAACAAAAAAAAAAAAAAACACTGTAATGGGATTGGACGGACGGAACGGTTTCCGTCACGTCAACTCCCCAATAACTTAATGAAACATCGTTGTTTCGGATCAGTGCTGTAAACGCGAAAAACTTGAATTGTATATATTCAAAATTCAAAGTATCGGTTACAAGTAGTGTGTATCAATCAAGAAGGGGTACAATCTCTGTATATGAGAAGTCCTCTGATTCTCTACTAGAAGTATGCCTATTAGATGTGTGCCAAATTTGGAATATGCCAAATTGGAAGTGTGCCGAGTTCAGAGTATGCTGAACTTGAAGTAGTTCTTTGTTGGAAGTATGCCGAATCCGGAATATGCCGAATTGGAAGTGTGCCTAGTTCAAAGTATATTGAACTGGAAATATGCCAAGTTCGGGAGTATGCCGAACTGGAAGTATGCCGAGTTCGGGAGTATGCCGAACTGGAAGTATGCCGAGTTCGGGAGTATGCCGAACTGGAAGTAGTTCCTTGCTGAAGGGCCTCCGGAGTTACGTAGCTTGTTCTTCAATGAAGGGCTAATATGCAGCTTGATCTTCAAAGAAGGGCTTCCGGTGTTCAAGTGGCGTATTCCTCAGCGCAATATATGCAGTATATATATAACTGCGGGCGTGTTCCAGACGATATCCCGGCGAGATTTCGGCAGAGCTTCGATATGCAGATTTTCAGAGCTTTCTTTGAAAATGAACCCACTATTTATAGTGGTGAGGGTGAGGAAAAATCTCCAACCAACTCTTAATTCCTTATTTAATTTAATTTCTTTAATTAAATTAAGGAATGTATCGGGACACCAATGCATCCAGGTTCATGATTTCATTAAATTTCCAAATAATATAAAATATTCAAATCCCTCAAAATTATATAACCCACATATATTTTTAGTGGGCCAAGACCAAGTCAAGCCCGCTAATTAGGCAACCCAATTCATCCAAGCAGCCTGGTCCAACTCGATTAAATATTTCATCATCTCGGGCCGAATAATCCAACATCCAATTACATTTAATTAAGTAATTAAACTAATTAATTATTTAATGGGCCATTTAATTAACCCGATTAAATAAATACCAGTCTAATTAGCTTAATTAAAGTAATTAATTTAATAATCGATTATCCACCACGGTTCGACAATATTATTTATCTTTTTTAATGCTTACAAATGCCCCTTCGAGACTTGCCTGACGTGCCTTAAATGCAAAGGGAGGGTAGTCTCGAAATTAATCATAGTAGTCCAAAAGTCCATATTTGCAAATAGTAACCCAATAAATATCATTTTGACCGCAAAGACCCAACAAAAGTCATATCCAAAAGCCAGAGTATGTCTACAATCAACCGTCCATTCCGTTTTTACCAAACTTTTCAATCTTTAACAAAATCTTTTTTTTAGAATTTGAAACTTGATCAAAACATGCTTATCACTTCGTCGAATTTGTTCCTTTAATGTAGGCAAACATTAATAATCCTTTTCCCACTGCACTTGAATTACGGTTCATGTACATATATCCTCAAAATGAGGTCAACATCCCATGAAATTGTTTGGAAAGATTTAGCATGATTCATGATTCTAAACAAGCCAGCCAAATAGAAGAAAACTGCATCCGAAATTAAGGCCATCAGCTCCTGATTCTAAGCATGAAGCATGGTCATTAAGAATTTCAGATTGAACTCAAATACTTCAAGTTAATACTTCCACACAAACGCGAACACTGCAACACTATAAATAACACCCCTGCTCATTGTTTTGCATTCCCAATCAGCTACCGAGAGATAACACAGGTAATTTTTAATTCTTGCTCGCCATTTATATATATGCATATGTATATTTGTCCTTGATTTTGCAGCCATATACCATGGGAATTTGAGGAACCAAACAAAGAAAGAATTGATAGCATAGGATGGGACTCTTTGGGAATCGATTTTCCCTCTGGCTTCCATGCCATTGCTTGGACTCTAGCCATTCTCACGAACGTTGGATTGGAGCCTCCCCGAAATTAATTTTCTGAGCTGTTTTCCCCTCGCCATCGAAGATGAAAGCTGCTGGGTACTCACTGGGCATGTGCTCCGGCATGTTGCTATCGCATTGTCGGGATGTTACTAAGCGCGTATTGCTCCGGCACGTCTTCTATGATCGGAGAGGAAAGCAGCCGGGTCGCCGGCACATTGCCTGTCGTCGCCGTATGGTTACCGTAGAGTGTTGCTCAATTCTCATCGGAGAAGGAAACGGAATCACGCCGGCGATCTAGTATCGCGTTGGACATCTTCTCTACTCGCCGGGCAAGTGCTTCGGCATGTTGTCGTCGTGTTCGTCGATGAAAAAGAAATAGGGAACCCACTACAGAACCGCTTGGGGAGGAGACGAAGGAAACCCAGGTGGAAAACTGTCATCTTTTTTCGCTTGAGTTCTTTCTTTGCAATGCTTGGATATTTTCAGTGTTTCTTCTTGAAGCGTACATATGCACACACATTGAGAATAAAGAGAGTTTCGAGCCTTGAGCCAGTGCGCCCTTTTGCTTTCACACATTCCCACGCCTCTTTTCCATCTGCTTTGCGTGTGGATGTACATGCGTGGCCAACTATCCAACATAACACATATATATGTTTGTTTTGCATGTGTTGCCAGCTGTGATGTGCATAATATACATATATAAAATACTCATGTGGGCCACTGGTTTATAATTCATATATATATATATATATATATATATATATATATATATATATATATATATATTACTCCACTGGTCCATACAGTGTACATATGTATATAATATATATGTAATCCATTGGTTATACTTGCTTGTATATATTACAGATACATAGTGCCCATGCATACACATAACACATTTATTATCACTTTGCATGCCGCCGCACCATTTAATGCTTCCACTTTAATTTCATCACTTTGCATGTGTGTGTACGTGCATAATATATAATGTACGCATAATATATGTAGCATGTGGATGCGTATAATACGCACTGCACGTAGCGAGGATTTTCTTGGACATCTCCGTGGCAAATTTTCTTGAGCCTTAGTATTAGAATTTTGTCTTCCCACGCTTCATAAGGCAAACTGTTGAACTTGCCCCTTGATTGTTAATGCAACTTCATATATCAAGAACTGTTTTTCAATAATGGTGGTGTTATCCAAGAGTCGACCGTGTTGACGCCAAAAGATGACGATAGCTTGAACAAGGCGGAGATGAGCTTGGAGGCATGTAACGACGGCATGCCTAGCTTTAGGCTTTTTGTAGATCGATGTTCTTTTTCGAACAAGGCGGAGATGAGCTTGGAGGCATGGAACGACGGCATGCCTAGCTTTAGGCTTTTTGTAGATCGATGTTCTTTTCGGTAGCTTCTCCTTTTGGTTGCAAGACTTTTTTGTTTTTTCTGTTGCCGAACTAATAATCGATTGTTTCTCATCTGCGTGTTGGTCTTTTAGCAATAATTCGCCCGACTTTGCTTTGACCCGTTGAAAGATTGTCTTGATACACCACTCTTGCAACATGAATCGGATTTGTTTCTGTTATGACTGAACTTAGATAGTTTGATTTCTAAGCTGCCTACGTACTCCTATGAAGGAGATCAAGTCAAACGTAGTTCAACTGATTTTGTTTTTATAGAGTAGAGCTGTTCACAGTTTAGACTCATGCGGGCCAGGAGCGTCTATGATTTGGGCCCACCCATAGACAAAGCGAGATGCATTAGCAGTTTAACCACGTGCTGCATTTTTGGTGGATGAGTCATTCATCAGATCTTCATGACTTGTGTTGACACCCCAAGTTTAAGGGTGGTAAAGCTTTAGGAACCTTCCATTAATTGGACCGATCTTCAAACCATCTTCACTAATCAGCTTGTAAGCCCCACCGGTGTAAACTTCTAAAATCACGTAGGGACCATCCCACCTTGAAGTGAACTTGTGACCGGTTTTTCTCGTGACGATGATGGGCCTGCGAACAGCTAGGACTTTGTCCCCAATTTGAAAGGAACGGGTCCTTACCCTTTTGTTAAAAGCTCTAGACATACGAGCTTAATAGCACTCCAAGCTTTGTTGCGCTTGCAGACGTTTTTCATCCAAGGCTTCTAACTCAGCCAAGCGTAACTTGGCATTCTCTTCATCAGTAAGACCCTCCTGTATAGCCAACCTTAAGGAAGGTATTTGGCGCTCTAGAGGCAAGACCGCTTCCACACCATACACCAAAGAATATGGAGTGCTTTGAGTAGGTGTGCGATATGTGGTTCTATACGCCCACAAAGCTTCTTCCATCCTGTCATGCCAGTCCCTTTTCGATTTTGAGACCACTTTCCTCAACAAATTGCATAGGGTTTTGTTAAAAGCTTCAGCAAGCCCATTTGCAGCTGCATAGTAAGCTGATGAGTTTCGCTGCTTAAAGTCAAAAAGCTTGCAGATCTTGTCCATCAACTTGTTGTCAAAGGGCTTCCCGTTATCTGTTAAGATATATCGCGGGATACCAAATCGATAGACGATGTGGACACGGAGAAAGTCTGCAACATTTTCTTTCTTCACCTCCTTCAATGCCACGGCTTCCGCCCACTTTGAAAAGTAATCGGTGGCAGCTAGTATGTAGGCATGCCCTGCAGATGACTTAGGCGTAATTGGGCCAACCACATCAAGCCCCCAAGCATCAAATGGCCAAGATGCAACTGTTGGGTGTAGAGGTTCTGGTGGCTGATGAATAAAGTTGGCATGATATTGACAAGCTTGGCACCTTCGGGCATAGTCTATGCAATCCTTTACCATTGTAGGCCAATAATATCCCATTCGCTTAATGTGGAAATGCAACTTGGGACCGGATTGATGTGCACCGCAAACCCCAGAATGAGCTTCTTGCATAGCTTGTAAAGCTTCCTCTTCCCCTAGACATCGGAGAAATATTCCATCAAAGGAACGACGATACAATGTCTCTTTATAATAGATGAAGCGAGGAGTTCGACGCTTTATATCCACCCTTTTGCGGGGATTTTCAGGTAACTTTCCATCAGTGAGGTAGTCAATTAACGGTTGCCTCCAGTCGTCTTTGCCTATATCGTACACTGAGGCAGTAGGGAGTTCAACGGTTTCGTCAACTGAGCCGTCTTCATTAAAGATTGGTGGAACCACCCACCTTTGACATACTTGTATTCGGGCTGCAGGATGAGCAATAGTTGAAGCCAATGCGGCTAAGGCGTCAGCTTGCTTGTTTTCTTTCCTCGATACATGTTCAATTGTGACATCCCCTAACCATTGCATGAGTATCTTTGCATAGTTGTTATATGGGACTAACTCCGCCTTTTTCACTTCATATAGACCCAACACTTGGTTTATGATCAACTTTGAATCTCCATA